AAAGGCAAACTGATCACCTTTGTCCATCTCTCTGTCACACAACCACAGAGTTGTTATGGTGTGACAGGAGGCCATCTTGCATGCACTGGCCCATCAAACAAGCATTATTCCCTAGTGCCACTCTCATACCTTTTCACCCCCTTAGCCTTGCTCACTATTTCTATCCATATAGTCATCCAATGTTCTCCTGAATGCCTCAACTGAATCTGTCTCCACGACACTCCCAGGCAGTTCACTTCTTACCCTAAGTACTCGCTCGGTGAAAATGTTTTCTCTTCCATCACCAATCACCGTCTACTACCTCTTATTCTTGTACATTTTATGAGTGGAAAGAGCTTCTCTCTATCTATTCTATTCATCCTGCTCATGCTTTACCCTTTCCCCTTCCAATCCTGGCAGGATCTGTAGAGAGAAATCAGAGTTAACATTTTGGACCCAGTGATCCTTCTTCAGAACTGATGGTAGCTAGGTAAATGATGATTTTTATGTAGAAGATAGAATGGGGTGAGGCAGGAGGAGTAAATGAGAGGTGGGGATGGAGCCCAAAGAGAGATAAAAACAGTTGGATAGACAAAGGAGTGAATAAAGACCAGCCTATGAGAATGAATAGTTGCTAATGGAGGCAATTAGTGACTGCCAATTGGTGTGATAGCAGCGCATGTGATGCCAAGACCTGGTGTGTGGGGATGGTGGAAAGCATGGGCTCAGGCCCGAACATTGGTGAACTCAATATGAAGTCCGGAAGGCTGCAGCATTCCCAAGTGGAAAATGAGGTGCTGTTCTTCCAGCTTGCGCTGAGCTTCGCTGGAGTTTCGCAGCAAGCCTGAAACAGAGGTGTTAGCCAGGGAACAAAGTGGTGTGTTGAAGTGGCCGGCCACTGGAAGCACAGGGTCTATTTTGCAGACAGAACGTAGGTGTTCTGTGAAGCGGTCACCCAGTCTATGCTCTGTTTTCCCAGTGTAGAGGAGACCACATTGTGAGCAGTGAATACTGTAGACTAAATTGTGTGAAATGCAGGTAAAGAGCTGCTTCACCTGAAAGGTATGTTTGGGACCTTGGGTGGTGAGGAAGGAGAATGTAGGAACAAAAACAGAAGTTGCTGGAAAAGCACAGCAGATCTGACACCATCTGTGAAGAAAAAATCAGAGTTAACGTTTCGGGTCCGGTGACACTTCCTCAGAACTGATGGTAGCTGGAAAAATGTCGGTTCATATGCAGAAAATAGGGAGGGGGAGTTAATGATAGGATAGAACCCGGAGACAGGGAAAAGAGCAGTTGGATAGACAAAGGAGTTGATAACAATCCGGCCCTGAAGGTGAATAGTTGTTAATAGTGACTGTTAGCAACTAACCATAGGTAGTGTGTAATGGCAGACAATGATAGTAAAGCCTGGTGTGTGGGGTAGGGGGCTAGGACATGGGACAGTTTAGGCCCTAAAATTATTGAACTCGATACTGAGTCCAGAGTGCTGCAGGGTCCCCAAGCAGAAAATGAGGTGTTGTTCTTCCAGCTTGTGTTGCACTTCGCTGGAACACTGCAGCAAGCCAGATACAGAGATGTTGGCCAGGGTTAATATAGCACCTTCTGTGGTTGCAGGGTAAGGTGCCGTGTGGCTGTGGGTGCAGTGCGGGTGTTGGGAGCGAAGAAGAAGTGAATCAGTGTGTCTGGAGGGAAGGCCCCTGTGGAAGGCTGACAAAGGACAGGAGGGAACGTATGTCTAATGGTTGCATTCCACTGGAAGTGGGAGATATGTCGACTAATGATCCTCATTTCCATCAAGTGTGAAAATAAACACAGTTTTATTAAATACCAGTTCTCAACATAAATGGAAAAATATTATAATGCGGAATATGAATCTGCATATAATATTGAGAACTGGTTGGTTCACACTGACTATCAACTAACCCTGAACATAATGAAAAACGAAAGAATTGTGGATGCTGTAAATCAGGAACAAAAACAGAAGTTGCTGGAAAAGCTCAGCAGGTCTGGCAGCATCTGTGAAGGAAAACACTAACATTCTGGTCCGGTGACCCTTCCTCTGAACATAATGAGTTGCACTTTCCCCTGTTTTATATAAGACTCTCTCATTCCTCCCTACAATTAGATGATTCCTCAATGGTCTAGGGCGCAAGCTTCAAATCTATAGTTTTACGGTTTTTTTTTAGTTTTAGAGCCATCCAGCCTGGAAACAGACCCTTCGGTGCAACCGGGAGATAATAAGAACTGCTGATGCTGGAGTCAGAGATAACACTGGAGCTGGAGGAACACAGCAGGCCAGGCAGCATCAGAGGAGCAGGGAAGCTGACATTTCGGGTCGGGACCCTTTTTCAAAAATGGGGGATGGGGAAGGGAGATCTGAAATAAATAGATAGAGGAGGGGTGGGGCTGGGGAAGGTAGGTGGGATGGTGATAGGTGAGTGCAGGTAGGCAGTGGTGGGGATTGGTCAGTGAGGTGGGAGCAGTGGATAGGTGGGAGAGAAGATGGACAGGTTGTGTCGGGTCAAGGGAGATGGGTAGGAGCGAAGACAGACAGACCAAGGAGGCAGGGTGAGAGGGAGGGCTGGTCATGGGATGAGGCCGGGGCTGGGGAGATTTTGAAAATAGTAAAGTCCATATTGAGACCATTGGGCTGTAGGCTCCCGAGGCGGAATATGAGGTGCTGCTCCTCCAGTTTCTGGGCAGCGTCGTTGTGACACTGGAGGGGGCCCAGGATGAACATGTTGTCTAGGGAGTGGGAGGGGGAGTTGAAGTGGTTTGCGACTGGAAGGTGTTGTCGTTTGTCGTGAACTGAGCGCAGGTGCTCTACAAAGCGATCTCCGAGCATCCGCTTGGTCCAACTAGTCCATGTCGATCATAATCCCAAAATAAACTAGTCCCACCTGCCTGAGCTTGGCTCGCATCCCTCCAAAACTTTCTGATTCATGTACTTATCCAAATGTCTTTTAAACGTTGTACCTGTACCTGCATCCACCACTTCCTGTGGAAGTTCATTCCACACATGAACCACTCTCTGTGTAAAAAAGTTGCTGCTTTTTAAATCTTTCTCCTCTCACCTTAAGAAATGCCCCCGAGTCTTGAAATCCCTTGCCTAGTGACAGAGTGGCTCAATTTCACCTTCTAGGTAGAGTGTGAATAGGGGTTAGTGGCTGTGTTTAGCAAGAGTCAGATGTTTAAAGGTTGGTTCAGTCTTGTTACTTGACTGAAGGTTTAATGGGCCTTCTGTTAAGATTATACTGAAGGTCAATTAGGCACGAACATCAGAACCACTTCTCTACACACAAAGCAAGGATGAAATTTGGTAGTGAACAGACTTGGTTTAATGTTCCTGAGGTGGGAAGAGGAACAGGAAGGGGGAGTCTTAAAAATACAAGGTGGCATTGTTTACTGTGACATTGCAATATTGTTCCAGATTGACTGTACTCACCAAGGAGGCCCTCAGCAAGAGTAGGTCTGGCTCACTTGTGCTAGGCTGGTCCCCCCCCACCTCAATGCTAGTGGCAGCCATTGCAATGAGTTGACCCAACTTTGGCAGGACAGGAGACCATCAGGTCTAAATTCCCGAGGTCATTAACAGGGATCCACAGAGAAAAATGTTACATTCCAGCCAAAATGAACAACTGCAAGGCACAGCCCATCCGAGTTCAATGGATCTGATCGTTTCAGTCCTTCGAGGGCAGGCCTCCGAATTGACCCAGATTCACAGCTTCTGTTCGGCCTCTGAGGAATTAGAGTTAACGATTTGGGTCCAGTGAACCTTCTTCATTACTGATGGTAGCTAGGAAAAGGATGATTTTCACCTTCAAGATAGAGTTTAGAGGGGATGGGGGTGTGGAGCTATTGATGCAGCCGAAAGACAGAAAACACAGTTGGACAGACAAAGGAGAGGATAAAGACCAGCTGAGGAGAATCATTGACTGCTAATGGGGACTATTTATAGCTGACAATGAGACATTTGAAGTAGCAGCCCTTGTGAGGTGAAAACCTGGTCTTTGCAGGCGTGGGGAAAGCATGGGGAAAGGGGCTCAAGTCCTAAAATTATTGAACTCAACAAAAAGAGTCTTCCCAAGTGGAAAGTAAGGCGCTGTTCTTCCACCTTGCGCTGAGCTTCACTGAAGCACTGCAGCAAGCCTGAGACAGAGATGTTGGCCAGGGAGCATGATAGTGTGTTGAAGTGGCAGGCAAGCAGAAGCTCAGTGCCTTTTTGCGAACTAAAAATATTCCCTTGAAAGACTCAATTGAACCTGTCTCCACTATACTCCCAGGCTGATCATTTCAAATCCTCACTGCTCGCTCAGTGAAATGTTTTCTCTTCCATCACCTATCCCCATCTATGACAAATAGTTCTTGTACATTTTACAAGTGGGAAGATCTTCTCCCTATCTGCTCTATTCAATCTGGTCATGGTTTAACCATTCTCCTGGCAGCATCTGTGGAGAGAAAACAGAGTTACCGATTCGCGAAGTGGTCACCCAGTCTGTGCTTCATTTTCCGGAGTAGAGGAGACAACATTGTGAGCAGCGAATACAGTAGACTGCTTCACCTGGAAGGTGTTTGGGAACTTAGATGGTGAGGAGGGAGGAAGTAAACAGGCAGGTGTAGCACCTTCTGTGGTCACAGGGGAAGATGCCGTGGAGCTGTGAGTGGGTGGAGAGTGTTGGGAGTGATGGAGTGGACCAAGGTATCTGAGAGGGAGTGGTCCTTGCGGAAGACAGACAAGGGAGGAGGTGGAATATGTGTCCTGTGGTGGCATCCCTCTGGAAATGGTGGCAAAAATGTCAGCTAATGATCCTCGTTTGCATTTTCAATCATTTTGAAGATAAATACAACTTTATTTAATACCAGTTCTCATAATAAATGGATAGTATTGGTAATATGGAGTATGAATCCGAATGTAATATTGAGAACTGGTTGGTTCACGCTGACTGTCTACTAACCTTGATTATAATGTGATGATCTTTCCTGTGTTTTATAATAGACTCTCGGCTCTATATCTTACTGCCTGGGTGATTCCTAGTGGTCTCGGGTGCAGGCTTCAAGCCTATAGCTGTCTAGCAACAGAGTGGTTCAATTCCACCTTCCAGGTGCAGTGTGAATATAGATCATGCCTATGTTTAGCTTGTGCCTGATGTTTATAGGCTAGCTCCTATTACAGTGCAAGCAGGGAGGAAATTTGCTGCCTCTCAGACTTGGGTGGCTTTTCCTGAGGTGGGGATAGGAACAGGAGGATGTGTTTGAATTTAAAAGGAGGCATGATCTCCCATGATATTGTTCCATTCCTGCCCAGCTTGTCACTACCACCAAGTAGGCCCTCAGTTTCTCTTGTGTTACATTGCTCCTCCCCCACTTCATCACTAGTGCTGCCATCGCGATGGAGTACACCTCTCTTTGGCAGTCCAGGAGATCATCAGGGCTGAATTCCTGAGTTCGTAAACAGAAGCCCGCAGTGAAAAATGTTACATTATAGGAAAACGATTAACAGCAAGGCATATCCCCTCCTAGTTCAGTGGATTTTATCATTTCAGCCTTGAACGTCTTACCTTCGAATGCAGGCCTCAGAATTTACACAATTACATAGTTTCTGGCCTGCCTCAGCACTCCTGGTAGTGCTGCCCTCTGTTTGGGCCAACTATATCAGTAGCCATGTTCACCCAATCGGGCTAATCCCATTTCACTCTGGGTCACCAGAGACAAATTGATCACCCTTCTCCATCTTCGTCACAGAATCACAAAATTCTTATGGTTTGCCAGGAGGCCATCTTGCCTGCACAGGCCCTACAAACAAGCATCATTCCCTAGTGCCATTCTCCTGCCTTCCCAACCCCTCCCCCCCATAACCATGCTCATTATTTCTATCCAGATAGTCATCCAATATTCCTTTGAAAGACTCAATTGAACCTGTCTCCCAGGCTGATCATTTCAAATCCTCGCTGCTCGCTCAGTGAAAATGTTTTCTCTTCCATCACCTATCCCCATCTATGACATCAAGTTCTTGTACATTTTGCAAGTGGGAAGATCTTCTCCCCATCTGCTCTATTCAATCTGGTCATGGTTTAACCATTCTCCTGGCAGCATCTGTGAAGAGAAAACAGAGTTACCGATTCAGGTCCATTCACCCTTGTTCAATAGTGATGGTAGCGAGGCAAAGGATGGTTTTCACCTTCAAGATACAATTGGGAACGTGGGGGTGTGGAGCTATTGTTAGGTGGAGATGGAGCCCAAAGAGAGAGGGAAACAGTTGGACAGACAAAGAAGTGGATAAATACCAGCCGAAGAGAATCATTGGCTGCTCATGGGGACTAATCACAACTGACAGTGAGTTGTTTGAGGTAGCAGTCCCTGTGAGGTGAAGACCTGGTCTGTGGGGGTTCATGGGAAGCACGGGGAAAGTGGCTCAAGTCCTAAAATTGTTGAACTCAATAAGAAATCCAGAAGGCTGTAGCGTTCCAAGTTGAAAATAAGGTGCTGTTCTCCCAGATGGCACTGAGCTTTTCTGAAGCACTGCAGCAAGTCTGAGACAGAGATGTTGTCCAGGGAGCATGGTGGTGTGTTGAATTGGCAGGCAAGCGGAAGCTCAGCTCTTTTTGCGAACTAAACATAGATGTTTTGTGAAGTGGTCACCCAGTCTGTGCTTCATTTCCCCGGAGTAGAGGAGACGACATTGTGAGCAGCGAATACAAAAGACTGCTTCACCTGGAAGGTGTTTGGGACCTTGGATGGTGAGGAGGGAGGAAGTGAATAGGCAGGTGTAGCACCTTCTGTGGTCACGGGGGAAGGTGCCGGGGAGCAGTGGGTGAGTGTGAGTGTTGGGAGTGATGGAGTGGACCAAGGTATCTCAGAAGAAGTTGTCCTTGCAGAATGCTGACGAGGAAGGAGGTGGAATATGTGACTGGAGGTGGCATCCCTCTGGAAGTGGTGGCAGAAATGTCAGCTATTGATCATCATTTGCATTTTCAATCCATAATCATTTTGAAGATTAGCAGAGCTTTATTTAATACCAATTCTCGTGATAAATGGATAGTATTGGTAATATGGAATATGAGTCTGAATGCAATATTGAGAGCTGGTTGGTTCACACTGACTCTCTACTAACCCTGATTTTAATGTGATGATCTTTCCTGTGTTTTATATTAGACTCTCTGCCTAGCTATTAAATGCCTGGTCGATTCCTAGTGGTCTAGGGCACAGGCTTCAAACCTGTGGTAGTCCAGCAACAGAGTGATTCAATTCCATCTTTCAGGTAGCATGTGAATACTGGATCCTACCTGCATTTAGCTTGTGCCCAATATTTATAGGTTAGCTCCAATTATACTCCAGATGTTTCGGTGCAAGCTGGGATGAAATTTGGTGGTGGCCTTTTCTGAGGTGGGGTGAGGAGCTGGAGGGCTTGTTTAAAATTAAGAGGAGGCATGACTTCCCATGACATTGTTCCATTCCTGCCCAGATTGTCACTACCACCAAGGAGGCCCTCAGTTTCTCTTGTGCTCCGTTGCTCCTCATCACTGGTGCTGCCATCACAGTGGAGTACACCTCTCATTGTCAGTCCAGGAGATCATCAGGGCTGAATTCCTGAGGTCATAAACAGGGATCCGCAGTGAAAAATGTTACATTACAGGTAAAATGATTAACAGCAAGGCATTTCCCTCCTAGTTCAAAGGATCTTATTGTTGCAGCTCTTTAAATTTTACCTTTGAGCGTTAGCCTCCGAATTGACTCAGTTCCATAGTTTGTGGCCTGCCTCAGCACTCTGTGTGGTGCTGCCCTCTTGTTGGATAAACTCTATCAGTAGCCATCTTGCCTGCACTGGCCCTACAAACAAGCATCATTCCCTCGTGCCACTCTCCTGACTTTCACCCCTCCAATGCCCATGCTCCCTATTTCTGTTCAAATAGTCATCCAATGTTGTAGCCTCGTCGACTCCATCAGGCTTATCCCATTTCACTCACGGTCGCCAGAGGCAAATTGGTCACCTTTCTCCATCTCTCCGTCACAGAATCACAAAATTGATACGGTGTGACAGGAGGGCATCTGCTTGCCCTGGCCCTGCAAACAAGTATCACTCCCTAGTGCCAATCTCCTGCCTGTCCCCTCCATAACCTTGCTCAATATTTCTATCCAAATAGTCATCTAACGTTCCTTGAAAGACTCAATTGAATCTGTCTCCACCGTACTCCCAGGTCGATCATTTCAAACACTACCTACTCGCTCAATGAAAATGTTTTCTCTTCCATCACCTATCACCTGTTGTTCTTGTACATTTTATGAGTGAGAAGAACTTCTTCCTATCTACCCCATACAGCCTGCTCATGATTTACCCATTCTCCTGGCAGCATCTGTGGAGAGAAATCAGTTACCTATTCAGGTCCAGTTACCTTTGCTCATTACTGATGGCAACTAGTAAAATGATGGTTTTTACCTTCAAGATACAGTTGGGGAGTTGGAGTGAGGGTGAGTGGAGCTATTGACAGATGGAGCCCAAAGAGAGACAAAAACAGTTGGACAGACAAAGGTGTGGATAAAGACCAGCCTCGGACAATCAATGGGGACTATTCATAGCTGTCAATGAGTCATTTGAGGTAGCAGCCCCTTGTGGCCATGACCTGGTCTGTGGGGGCATGGGGAAAGCATGGGGAAAGGTGTTCAAGTCTTAAAATTGTTGAACTCAATAAGAAATCCAGAATAAGAGATAACAAGGTGTAAAGCTGGATGAACACAGCAGGCCAAGCAGCATCAGAGGAGCAGGAAGGCTGACGTTTCAGGCCTAGACCCTTCTTCAGAAAGAAGGCCCAAAATGGGTCTTCTTCAGACCCGTTTTCTGAAGAAGTGTCTAGGCCCGAAACATCAGCCTTCCTGCTCCTCTGATGCTGCTTGGCCTGCTGTGTTCATCCAGCTCTATACCTTGTTATCTCAGATTCTCCAGCACCTGCAGTTCCCACTATCTCTGAAGAAATCCAGAAAGCTGTAGCGTTCCAACTTGAAAATAAGATGCTGTTCTTCCAGCTTGCGCTGAGCTTTGCTGAAGCACTGCAGCAAGACTGAGACAGAGATGTTATCCAGGGAACATGATTGTGTGTTGAAGTGGCAGGCAAACCGAAGCTCAGCTCTTTTTGAAAACTAACCATAGATGCTTTGTGAAACTGTCATTCATTTCCCCGGAATAGAGGAGACGACATTGTGAGCAGCGAATAGAATAGACTGCTTCACCTGGCAGGTATTTGGGACCTTGGATGGTGTGGAGGGAGAGAGTAAACAGGCAGGCGTAGCACCTTGTGTGTCGAAGGGGTAGGTGCCGTGGAGCTGTGGGTGGGTAGGATGAGTTGGAAGTCAAGGAGTGGACCAAGTTATCACAGAGGGAGTGGTCCTTGCGGAAGGCTGACAAGAGACGGGGTGGAATATGTTTCCTGTGTTGGCATCCCTCTGGAAGTGGTAGCACTAATGTCAGCTATTGATCTTCATTTGCATTATTCATTTGGAAGCTAAGCAGAGCTTTATTTAATACCAATTCTCATGATCAATGGATAGTATGGTAATATGGAATATGAGTCTGAATGTAATATTGAGAGCTGGTTGGTTCACACTGACAATCTACTAACCCTGAATATAATGTGATGATCTTTCCTGTGTTTTATATTAGACTCTCTGGTCTGTCATATGATGCTTGGGTGGTTGCTAGTGTTCTAGGGTGCAGGCTTCAAACCCACTGCTGTCTACTAACAAAGTGGTTCAATTCCATCTTCCAGGTGCAGTGTAATTTCTGGAGCCTACCTGCATTTAACTTGGGTCTGATGTTTATAAGTTAGTTCCAATTATACTTCAGACATATAGGTGCAAGCAGGGATGAAATTTAGTCGTGCCCAGACCTGAGTGGCTTTTCCTGAGGTCAGGAGGGCATGTTTGTAATTAAGAGGAGGCATGATCTCCCATGAAGTTGTTCCATTCCTGCCCAGATTGCTGCTATCACCTCAGTTCCTCTTGTGCTTGGTTGCTCCTTCCCCACCTCATCACTAGTGCTGCCACCACAATGGCGTTGACCTCTCTTTGGCAGTCCAGGAGATCTTCAGGGCTGAATTCCCAAAGTCATAAATAGGGATATGCAGTGAAAAATGTTACGTTACAGGTAAAACGATTAACAGCAAGGTATATCCACTCCTAGTTTAAAGGATCTTATTGCTTCAGGCCTGAACATTTTTCCTTCATGTGCAGGCCTCCGAATTGACTCAAATCATCAGTTTCAGGCCTGCCGCAGCATTCCCAGTGGGGCTGGCCTCTTGCTGTCTCAACTTCATTAGTAGCCATGTTGACTCCGTCAGGTTTATCCAATTTCACTCAGTGTCACCAGATGCAAATTGATCACTCTTCTCCATCTCTCTGTCACAGAATCACAAAATTGTTATGGTGTGTCAGGGCGCCATCTGGACTGCTCTGGCCTTACAAACAAGCATTATTCCCTATTGCCACTCTCCTGACGTTCCCCCACACACCAATCCTCCCTATTTCTAACCAAATTGTCATCCAATGTTCCCTTCAAAGACTCAATTGAACATGTCTCCACCATACTCCCAGGCCCATAATTTCAAACCCGAAATACTCACTCAGTGAAAATGTTTTCTATTCCATCACTTATCCCCATCTATGACATCTAGTTCTTGTACATTCTCTAAGTGAGAAGTGCTTCTCCCTATCTATTCTTTCAGTCTGCTCATGCTTCACCCATTCCCCTTCCAATCCTGGCAGCATCTATGGAGAGAAATCAGAGTTAACGATTCGGGTCCAGTGACCCTTCTTCATTACTGATGGTACATAGGAAATGGATGGCTTTCATAAACAGGGATCCGCAGTGAAAAATGTTACATTCTATGTAAAAC